TAAAAAATTTGGTTAAACATTTTTTCCATATTATTGACACACTCTTTACTGGCTTTAATTCTATAAACCATAAGAAAAATATTTTTACTGTATTAAATATTTATATTTGATGATAATATAGTATACTCTCAACAAAATTAATGGGAACACTTCTGGATGCCCACCATCTGTTGGTGTTCGTAAACCATGTCACAATCTGCCCGCGTGATTTTCACCATGTTCGTCATCAACTTTTACGTGGAGCCAAAGTTTTCAATCAGAAGCGTGGCGTCCAGGTCGAGTTTTGACTCCGTTGGATCCGATACGTCCAACTCGGTGTAACCGTTCCGACTGCCGTCCAAAAACGGAGTGAACACGGTCACGGTGTGGCCGCGGTCAGTCAAAGCATGCAGCACGGCTCGCATCACGTTCCAGTGGCTTTTGCCAGCGACCGTCTRCACCGCAAGGATGTTCGCGGCACCGGCGGTCGTCAACTGAAGCAGCGCTGGCCACACGTAAAACACAATCACCACCACGGCGGAGCTCGACGTGGCTTTTCCAGAAGTATTACCGTTTTCTAAATATAGATGGGTAAATGATARTCTGTATTATTTAACCATGTTTATGGTGCCTATACCAACGTACCACTATGAACTCGCAGGCAATAAGGGAAATAATTGCGCGGCGAAGCGGGTTATACCGAGAACCAAATACTTATTATGAGCATTTTMAGGGTTGGTGGTGATGAGTGAGAGGATATAACGACCGACAGGTAATAATTTAAGTATTTTAATACTTATAACGACAGGTAGTAAAAAATATGACAATATAATGCCTTTTTCGGGTTATGGTGTGCGGATTGCAGAATCGTGTTTTAAGACAGTATTTTGTTTTTAGATATAATTTCTTTATATGAAGCAATATAAAGAAATACGACGATTTAATGCATGCTTTTTCATCGTGTGGCCGAGAAACCAGTTACCAAAGGCAAAAAATACTAATTTATCTTATATTAGCCATGATAGTCTTATAGTCTGTAAGATATAACCTGCAATAGCAATATCGATTTTGTCAACAATTGGTGTTGCATAAAATATATTCCTGTTTTTCCGAGATTATTTAGTGAAATTAAAGGAAATTTTCAATTTTTGACTTCAAACTACTGACTACAGTAGTCTAATTTACTAGGTACTTATACGTTATACCAGAAACTATATTCTCGAATTTAAAGATTGAATCACTTTTTTTAACCTACAATACGCGTTTACACACAAAAATATAAGCATTGTTGATCGCCGATATAGCTYCTACGAGTTCGGCGGTTGGCTATACCGACTTGCGGTGTATAGGACGTAAGGTTACCCAAATGAATACAAACTTATTAATTAATGACTAATACAATACAACCATTGTCGCGAAAAATACAATGAATTATACATAAAACCAATATATAAAAAAGGGGAGCGCGCCCTGGAATAAATACAACCATATACCAATAATATAAGATAAAAGGCACAATAAGTGCACAATAT